CCTCTGCCGCCGGGCGTGGCCTCACGAAGCCGGCAGCTGCCCCCATTCCGATCCATTCAGCGCTGATGGAGCGTGGCCTCCCGATCCTCTCCTCTCACTTGATCTCTGGAAGGAAAGCAGAAGAGAGAGAGACGGGGGGATCAGCCACCTCCTCTGGGTGCGAGACCACAACCTTGCCAGGCACCAGACGGCACGGCAGGTGATTCAGGTGCTGGACTCTGGTTCCCCTGGTAGTGCTGAGAACTGGGTCCAGCCTCCTCCGTGCAGTGGATATGCCCAATGTTGACGACACGCACGTGGTCGGACTCGCACGTGGCCGCAGGAACGTGCTGAGCTTCGCACCCCAAGGACAATAGCAGCTATGGATCTGAGAACTCACCTATCGGTCAGCCCGGATCCTAATAGGCAGGGGTCATTTCCTGCAGGAGTGCACAGGAGTGGAGCTCCGGCAGTAAAGAGCCCAGGGGGCGGGCACATGCAACAAGCCCCACCCCCTGCTCCCAGCAGCCCTCAGTCAGAGCAAGAAGCAGCCAGGTAAGCTGCAGAGCCCCCCCCCGGCCCCCCGGTCCAGAACAGTCCAGTGGCACCTTCAAGACCAAGTCTTACTCAGGTACGAGCTCTCCCTCCTCTGTGAGGGACAGATCTACACTCCCCCCCCCCAATAGCTAGCAATCCAAAACAGTCCAGTGGACCTTGAGCGGTGGGTGTTCCCTTCTGACACACTTCCGGTGATGCCAGGGGGTGTGGCATATGCAAATAAGTTATGCTAATGAATTATGCTAATGAGCTCCTGCACTGCTTTTTCTACAAAATGACCCCTGCTAATAGGGAACCAATAGGTGGAGTTGTGTGTAAGTAATCCAATCACATGTGTGCGTTGGCTGTGTGTTGAACGGGAAAAGAAGCGGGCCCTGGGCCACGCTAGCTATCTCAAGTTCTCCGATGTCCTAATAAAGTCTGTGCTGAAATCACTACTCCATGCATCAGTCTCAGTCCTTTATACCCAAAGAGGCCAGACCTCGGAACGGCGGCATTTTGCCTGGCCAGAACCCTTCCCCCCCCATCCGCTAGTCCGGATGAAAGTCACAAGGGAGACACACCCAGGGGGATCACCAGCCTTGGGATCATTGGCCCGGTTCCACCTTTGCCCTGCCCCCTACCGGCCTTGCCTGTTCAAACCTCATCCCCCCCCCCATATTTCTGTCTCAAAAGGGGAACTGGAAAAGAGCACACCTGCAGCCTCCAAGCTGCCGGGTTGAAAGCCCAGGACTGGCTAGCACATGCATGTTTACTGTTGGGATCTGCACATGTGCAGGAAAAATGCAAAGCTATTTACCTTCTGCTGCAGACCCTCAAGAGCAGAGCCTGAACGCAACTTATACACCTCCCTGCACGGGTGAGTCAACCCCTGCCTTGATTACGTGGTTGCATGAAGTGCAAGAGTTGTTCCAAAAGTCCTTTTTAAAAAACAAAAACCCTTACTGTTTCTCTGTCAAAAGGCACTCTGCGCATGCTTGGGAGCACTCTGCCTGCCACGCAAGCATCGTTAAAAGGTCGGCAATTCTACCCCACAGCCACTCTGCCAAGCTGCTTAGCCCCCTCCTCTGAAGCGCCCAGGAAAGCGTCACTGAACACATCTTTCTGTGGGGTATCTTTTCCCATAGAGGTCATCCTACCTCAGGCCAAAGGGTTAAACTCACCTGCCCCTGGGGTCCCTCTGCATTCCTAAATCGGCCTTGAAAATAAGGCTACCGTGGAGGAGGAGGAGATTGGATTGATACCCCATGGCCCTTCACTACCCAGAGGAGTTTCAGAGCGGCTGACAAACTCCTTTCCCTTCCCCTCCCCACAACAGACATGCCCTGTGAGGTAGGTGGGGCTGAGAGAGCTCCTTTGAGGACTGCCCTTTCAAGGACAGCTCTTGTCAGGACTATGGCTTGTTGGTATTGCCTACTCAGACGGGCAGTGGCTCTCCAGGGTCTCAGGCGCAGGTCTTTCACAGCACCTGTAATCGGGTCCTTTTAACTGGAAATGGTAGGGATTGAACAGGGGACCTTCTGCATGCCAAGCAGACGCTCTGCCATTGAGCCACGGCCCCTCCACTGGTTGTGAGGGTACCTTGGGGGGTGGACATGGTTTCAGAGAAGCCGCTTGGTCCGATCTCTGGAGATGAAACTCCTTAAGGGCCCTCTCCTCTGCATGGCCTCAGCCTGCTGGTCCAGACCACGGGCCAGTGTGGGAAGCAGAGACGGTTTTGAAAGGGCGGGGTCTTCTTGCCGCTCTTAAACACTGGCAGCTGAAACAACTCACAAACCATGTGCTGAAGCAGCATCAGTGCCTCAAAGAGGAGGAGGAGGAGGAGATTGGATCTATACCCCATGGCCCTTCACTCCCCAAGGGAGTCTCAGAGCGGCTCGCAGACTCCTTTCCCTTCCCCTCCCCACAACAGACACCCTGTGAGGTAGGTGGGGCTGAGAGAGCTCTGACAGGAACGGCTCTTTTTCAAGAACAGCTCTTATCAGAACTACAGCTTGCCCAAGGTCATCCAGCAGCTGCAAGTAGAGGAGGAGTGGGGAATCAAACCTGGTTCTCCCAGATTAGAGTCCACGCACTTAGCCACGACACCAAACTGGCTCTCGTCCACAAGACATTTGAGCTACCACAACGAGCCCATTTGTGTAATCTGCAAAAAGAAAAGGGAAAAAGATCCTACTATTGAAGAAGAAGAAAAGATTGGATTTATGCCCCGCCCTTCACTCGGAATCTCAGAGCGGCTTACAAACTCCTTTCCCTTCCCCTCCCCACAACAGACACCCGGTGAGGTGAGTGGGGCTGAGAGAGCTCTTGACAGAAACGCCTCTTTCAGGAACAGCTGTGCCAGAGCTTGTGACTGACCCAAGGTCACATCAGCAGGTGGAAGTGCCTGGAAGTGCCCCTCCCTCGCCACAGGTGAACAGGCGAAGAGACTGAACAAAGTTAGAGTCCAGTCTAGCACCTTTAAGACCAACAAAGTTTTATTCAGGGGACAAGCTTTCGTGTGCCAGGCACACTTCTTCGAAGTCTGCATGCCCAGGAAACCTTGTACTTCTTCGAAGTCTGCATACCCATGAAGAAACCTTGCACCCAGAATAAATCTTTGTTGGTTTAAAGGTGCCGCTGGACTCCAACGTGGTTCTGCTGCTTCAGACCAACACCTGTTACAAAAGAGGCTGACTGCAAACCTGAATTCTATCATTGGTGGGAAGCCAGTTAAAAAACAAAGAAAGGTGAGTACCATCTGCTATGATCAGCCAGGTCTTCTCAGTAACTATTTTTTAAAGACAAACACCCCACCTTTAAAAAGAAGTATGGGGAAGGGGGGTTAAAGGAGCTGCCCTGGGGTGGCTTTTGGGGGGGGCAACGCCCCAGATTTCTTTTCTTCCAGGCACCACATGAGTTCCTACACGCAAGCCCCCTTCCTGTTGAAAAAAATAAATGGAGACAGGAATGAACACAGTTCTCCTCCCGCAGGTCCCCCCGGGGTCCACCTCTGCTATTACACCCCCCCCTCCACAATGGCTTCCATCCTATTTGAGGCAGCAGAGATGCAAAAACACAAAAACTGACGCTGGACTAGACGGACCCCTGGCCTGGTCCAGCAGGGCTCTTCTTATGGTCTGACTTCCGAGGAGTCTCCGGTGGAGCAGGGGGGGTTTCAAAAACAAACAAACCAAAGCAAAAAACGGGTCTCCAGCTGCCAGTCCCAAAAGGACTTTTGCAACCGCTCCTGGAAAGCAGGTGAAGTCTGAGCCCTGACCCATCCCAAAGGATTCCGATTTACCCCGAGTGCTGCAGGGAGACCTTTTTTGGGTGGAGCTCAGCCCCTTGGAGGGGAAGAGCCCCTTCTCACAAGCAGCCCTTCCCAAAGAGTGCAGTCAAAGGGTTGCCTCCTCTGGAAAGGCAACAGAAATCTGGCCCAACAAGGCAGACCACACCCGAGGGAGTGCCTGGCCAAAGGCCCACCCACCAAGGGATAGGGCCAATGAGGTCAAGGGGCGGAGCCTCTCATGCACCCTTGTTCTCTCTCTCTCTCTCTCTTTTCTCTTTCTCTTTCTCTTTCTCTTTCTCTTTCTCTTTCTCAGCTCCAGTGGTTGAAGAAGCTGCATTTGAGGCACAGCAAATCCATGGCTGGAAATGAAAGTCAAGATGGGCAGAAGAGGTCTCCAAGAGGCAACCTCGCAGTCAAATTCCTTTGCCTCCTGTTCTTTCCATTTTAGGGACAAACCCCTGAAGCAGACAGCACCCCCTCCCACCTCTGTTTAGCCATGCCGTTAAATAAATAGCTGCACTCCCCACTTGAACTGTTTTTAACTGGCTTTATTGTATTCATTCAAACAAACAAAACAAACAAATACCTTTATTGGCATAAAATATTAAACAGTTGTTTGTTTGTTTATTGTATTCATTCAATATCTGATATTTATTTATTTACTGAATCGTTTTAGACTATAACGGGATTTATTGTTGGGAC